TATAATCCTCAAACTGAATCCATTAAGTAATGACAGTGATCAGCACTCCCATTTTACAGATGAAGAAACTGAGGCAAGGCACACTGTAGCAAGTAGTAGAGGAGCCAAGACTGGAAGACAGGCATTTTGGCCGGAGCCACTATCTTGTTGTCACTGCGGAAACAGGTGTTTTCCTATCTTCCGTAGTGTCCATCCCCAATGCACTCCCTTTGGAGACAGACTCTTGGTTCTACTGAACAAGTTAACTGGCAAGAGCCCAGGCTTCCTCTTTGTGTTGGTTGGGCTGTCGTAGGTATTGCTCCTCAAAGTGGGTGTAAGTTAAAGACCAGAGAGAAGTTCCCATTCGGGTAGAGTAGATCTCATTATGTATGTATGCTGGGGATGGTGGGTTACGCTGGAAAGGACAGGGGCATTGGTCCAAGCTCTTTGAATAAGATATTGTGTATTTCTGGCATATATTTCCATTCTTAAACTGATGGCAGGATGCTCTTCTCCCTTACTTGGAAGTCCTAGATCGAGATGTTGGCACTGTTTGTTCCTCCAGGCCATGAAGAAAGGATCTGTACCAGGCCTCTCTCCTTGGCTTGTAGATGGCTCTTTTATCCCCATGTCTTCACAAAGTCTTCCTTTTGTAGGTGTCTGTGTCCACATTTCCTCTTCTTACAAGGACACCAGTTATATTGGATTCAGACCTACCCCAATGACCTCCTTTTAATTTAATTACCTCTTTAAAGACCACATCTCAAAATAAAGTCACCTGCTGAGGTTCTAGGGTTAGGATTTCAACTCACAGACTTTATGGGGGACACAATTCAGCCCTTAACAACTATACAGTAGCAGACACAGCTCACTTCCTGGGGCTTCTGTTACCCTAACCTAAGGCATATACGTTGGCCAAGTGGTTAGTGACCAATGAGTCAGGGTAATTCTGGTGTGTTTTAGGGAGTTGGGATTACCTTGTGAGTTGAGAAAATACAGAAGACGATTGAAATGTGAAAGGCGGTGTCTATTACTGGTCCTGGGCTCCACCTAAGTGGTCTTTGAGGAGTTGTCCGAGAGCCCTTGAAAGTCATTCTCTTCGTCATTTTGTTAATTGACGATGCTGGATGCTTGGTTAGGGAGGCTCCTGTTGGCCCTATTTTCCATGTGCAACAAACTCCCTGAGTCTTCTTCTGGGCCTGACCTCAGCAGGGCTGGTTGTGCTCAGTGGCAGATGCTTGGACTTGCTTCTATTGACATAAACCCCCCAAACCTCAGTTTAGATAGAGAAGTTCCTGTGGACATTCTTCACCGATGTCAGAGATCTCTCTGCAGTGTAAGCTAATCTAAGGCTCTTGGAATCACTACCAGAGGGACGTGGTGAAGTAATGTATCCTGTCTGTACCAAAGTAGCTCGAGCGTCTGGTGTTGCCGCAGTGACTCTGGTTCCAAGCTTCCTCCCGGACTGTGCAGCTCAGCGAGTGAGAGGCAGTTCTACCCTAATGCATCTATAAAAGTTATCAGTCAGCCTTGCTTCTTACTGCTCATCTTTACTCCAACAGCTTTCCTTCGCTTGCTCAGTGCCCTTTGGCTTTTGGATGCCCAGCGGTGGTTCGATATTTCCAAAATCCCGCAAGCCACCTCTTTCCCTAATGAGAGCACACTGCTTCAGACGTCTCCTAGGCCTGCCCGACGTCTGTAATAAAACACCCTCCACACCACCGGCTCCTCTGGAGTGTCTCAAATGGTGAGGCATCCACTGCCTTGGGAAACATCTCGTTTCATTTTGAAAAAACTTCAATTTTTATAACATTTATCCATTTCGGACACTTGATGTTTGTTCTGCCTCAGTACCATGCCCTGTTCCTAGTCTGCTCTCAGTCAGGTCAGTCATACGCAACCGGTGGAATCCATCTCCCACCGATCGTCATTGCAGACCCGAGGACAGCAAGCGTGTCTGGCCTGAGTCCTCTGTACCCCAGGTTAGGTAATATCGTGGCTGACATCTGCCACCATGGTTTTAGGGGCCATTTTTGGCTTTTTAAAATTTGGGCCTCAATTCTCTGAGATGGTCCTAATGGATTAACAATTAAAATATGTTGAGATTCTTTCCCACCTTTCAGGGCTTATGTGAAATGTAACCTTCTCCATGAAGCCTTCCTTGATGTTACTCAAATGCCAGGCAATACCTTGCTGACTGGTCGTGAGTATACACATGTTTCCATGTCCAAATGTTGTTGACCGGTCATGAGCTAACTCATATCTCCACTTACATTAGTTTAAGAAATTTTAAACACCCTGCTGACCGGTCACAAGTATTTAAATGCGGGAAAGTAGCCAGCCTCAAAGCTGGATCCTGGCTCAGAAGAGCCAGTCAGCAAGGTGTTTTAACAGTTTTGTTCTTGGTGTTCTCATACCACCCTGTATATTTGCTATAACACTTACCACAGTGTGTCACACTACTGATTGGCATTTTCTCTCTGTGCGACATTATGACCCTGTCTTTGGCGAAGGACTGTGTCTTACTCATTGCAATATCTTCCATTCCTCGCTCAGAAGAGGGGGTTTATGTTTATTGGTTGTTTTGCTGATTTAAGAAACCACAGTTCAAATTCCAGGTACGAAGGCTGGTCAAAAAGGAAATACCTTTGTTCTGGGAGATTTTTGATGGTTCCCAGGTCAGATCCTTTGAGGAAAATCCTGGGTGTTTATACTTAAGTGAGCTAGGCCAGGCCGAAAGACCTGTGGAGAGACAGGGAGCAGCATGGCACTCCACTGAGACCTCCCGGTGCTTCAGGATGTTCCAGCACCAATCACAGCTTGCAGCCTTAGTGTCACCTTATACCTGGTGTCCCCAAACCCTCACTCCAGTTAATGAGGCTTGTCGTTAAAAAGCTGTCTATTTCCCTCTCATTGGGGAGTAATTTATCATCAAGCTTGTTTGTTTACTTTTCTAAGATGAGGGATGGAGGCCACTGCTACCAAGGAATGATTTCTTCCCAGAAAGAGAAGGAACTAAAATTAAGTCCTTTCTCTGAAGACACATATTATCTGAAAGGAATTTGGGTCAGCTTGCTTGCTGATGTTATGTAAACACCGCCTTGGATATCTTTTATTTCCTGAATGCATTGGGGGTGGGCTCAGACCTTCCTGAGACAGACCTCCAGCCAATAAACAGGGTTCTTTGTCTTCAGGTCAATTTTACTATGATCTGTTTTCCTGGGGCTGGGAAGAGTTCATTCTGTTCACTTTCTCAAGATTTTTCTCTATAATGGTTTCTGTTCATCTACCTATCCCAGAAAGTACATATTTATAGAACTATTACATATTCTTCAAGGACAGAAAATTCAAACTTTGCTCTTGCCCTAATCTGTGACCAGTTTTTGTCAGCAACTGCCTTTTTATTTTATCATTTTTGACTAAGTTCAGTATATGAGAGGGGCCCTGGATGTTTACAACACCTCAGCACCTCCCAACAGCCCAGCCACTGAGATGCTCTTCCAAGGGGGATGTTCTCCTTTTGGGCCTGATATGACAGTTCCTATTATGTTCTAGCATGTTCGTAGGAGATGACTTTGCAGGGTCGCCTCACCTTGTTTGTGTCATTTGGCACAACCTGAAAGCAAATCCTCAGGAATAAATAAACACAGTCAGTTTTCCCATCCTAAGTGCTGGTGGGAGGCTTGCTGGGATGGTCATGGTAGACATCCTGAAAGCTTAATCCTGTGGACAGTGCAGGAGGGATGACCGCCCAATGTCTGTGTTCTGAACACATAAGTGAGAAGAATCAGAAAAGTGCAGAGGGGGAAATACTAAAAACGAAATAAAGGTCACCCTTTGATGCTTGAAGTAGATTATTTAAAAAGTAAAATCACTTTACAATACATATTTGGAATTTAAACCTACTTATATTTTCGATCTTGAATGGACAGCATTGTTCAGGAAAAATGGCTCCACTGCACAGACAGCTAGCTGTGCCTGGGACATTGTTGTAGTTATGTGTGGTCATTGTTATAGAAACCCGGATGACACAGGATCGCTATTGGAGACGGACTCTGGACCACAGACATGGCCCAAGATGCAGGAGTATGTTACTTATGCTGCAAGCCTGTTAGACCTGCCTGATTTTATTGAGATGCTCCGCCAGGACTCCGTGTGAGCCTCGCCCTTTCCACTGGCAAACAAGGCCAGAGAGGGCGACCTCGGCCCTGAGAACTCAAGACAAGTTTATTAAGATGCGCCTGAGCTCGAAGCGCTCATGCGAGGGATGCTGCGGTCGGGAGGTGGGGGGGCGTCACTGGGCCGTTAGTGCAAATGCAGTTGTCAAGGCAGGGAGAGAGCATGTTGCTCCGTATTGAAATCATGTACTCCAGATGTGGGCATTTGGTAGTCAATCTGCTCTGAAGTGACATGCTGCTGAATCTTTAAAGGGCTTCAGCCGGGGAGAGCGAAATCTGATTGGGCAAATTGCTAAAATATTTAAAGTGCAGCCTGTTAAAGCTTTTACTGCGAAGAGAATCACGTCAGAAGTTGTAGTCAGAAAGAGCCAGTAATTGGCTTTCCATCCTCGTGCCAGTCAGCCTGCATGAGGCTCTGTTCCTAGCTCTTCCTCTTCATTGCCGACGCTAATAGCAACGTGTGTGTGTGTGTGTGTGTGTGTTTGTCTGTGTGTGTGTCAGTGCGCGCTGGAGAGATTGGTAAAATAAATGAGAGAAAGAAGAAGAGTGAGCTATTCATAAAAAAGGAGACCAAGTCCGCAAAATCGCAATGAAGGCCATTGTAGAAAAGGGGAGCAGGAGAGAACGGCAGAATTATTACCTGACAAAGGTCCCCTGCACTTCCAGGTGGTGGTTTGGGGCAGTTGTCTTTGGAAGGATGCATTTTGCAAGCACAAGAATGGCCTTCAGTAACAACCACATCCTCTGCATCTTTCTTCTCCCCTGAGATGTAACTCAGGGGGCACTTTTCATTTATAATTTATCACATTTTCCACTTAGGCTTTCCTGTCCTTTCCTCCCCAGGCACGACCCCTTGTTAATTCCCGGCAACGATCAGATTGACAACATGGACTCCAACGTGAAGAAGTATGACTCTACGGGGATGTTTCACTGGTGCGCGCCCAAGGAGATAGAGAAAGTCATCCTGGTGAGTGACAGGCAGCGAGTCCATGCCGTCCACTTCTGTCCCAAGCTGCGTCTGCTAGGAATGTGGTTTTCCTAACTGGACAGTGGGCTAATACAGCCCCTGGTCCTAATTACTTTTAATAATTAGAATTTAGGACACATATTGGAGCAGCTAGAACTCTCATCAGAACATGAACCAAGAGTAGAATTTCCTGTGTCTGAATATTTATTGGCTCATTACGATAGGACCGCATGCTGTGTGAAAGGCATCATGGGAGGACACAGGCACCGTAACTTGCGTGGATGTGGCTCTGGCGCCAGAGGCTGCCTGCGCTTTTTAGTAGCTGCAGGCCTTGGACAAGTCACTTGACCTCCTTGCACTTCAGTTCTCTTAGCTGTAAGGAAATGAGATGAGAATGCCCCTAACCCATAAGGTTGTAGTGAAAATGAAAACCCAGCATAGGACTCTATTAATCAAGTTACCTATTATCGTCATCGTTACTATTAAATGTCATGAAGAAATCTGCCTACTGCCTGTGTTGTTACGTGATGATACCAGCCTCTTGTATTCATCTAGAACAGATAATAGCTTTGCATGCTTGTGATCCTTCTTAACACAAAATGTAGACAGGGAAATGATGATGACAGGGATGGACCGCAGGGCATCTCGGGGAGGCAGGGGCTCCGAGTCCCAGCTCTTGGTTGGCTCATCTCTGCAGCAGCCATGGGCTTCCTCTAGTTTGTCCCAGGAATGTCAGCAGAGATAACAATTCATTCTACTCTTTAGGCTTGCCCTATTAACAGCTTTAGGTTGTAATGCCTACATCAGCTTCCCCACAGTTTATTGTCTTGCCAATCCATGGAAAATGGATTAATAATCAGAAAGGTCCGATGGAAGGGTTCTTTCTCCCTGTGCCTCTAATCCCCAGGTCGCTGTGGCCTTCTCTCTAATGTCAGCCAGGAAAATCCCCTTGTTTCTGATGTCATGGCCACCTTCCTGAGAAAGAACTGTCCCAGTTCCTCTACATGGCTTTGTGCTCCAACCCACCAGAATTTCTTCTGTATTTTATCAGAATGTGTGTGTTTTCTCCATTTAATTGTAATCAAGTGTTACAAGCCAATACAGCACTGTGCCGGAGGCTGTCCTGGAGACGTGAAAGTTGTAGATGAAAGCACAGAAAGTCAGAATTCTCAGGAAACAGCCATTGTCCAACTCATCAGGAGAACCAGAGGTTCAGACCACAAAGGTGCCTATGTGTTTACATGCTGATACAGTGTTCACTGCATTTACCCGGGTAACCTAAACACAGCCAGGTGTTACCCACCTGGTAGGTCAAAGGCTGAGTGCCATACTTGGGACCCAAGGTTTTAATAAATGACAGACATCCAGCCAGAGCCCCCTACTGGCATGAAAGAGTTTAGGGAGGTGAGTTATTGCTTTTCTCATCTGAAAAATAACATCATTAACAAGCCTTATGTGTAGGCATTGCTCCTGTTGCTGGGGTACAGCCTCTGACAACTGCTCTCATAGAGCTTGTCTTCTAGTAAAGGATAAGAGAAGAGCCCCAGGTGGACAAATGAATACATAACATATCAGATACGGAAGAAAATAAAGCAGGGTCATGGGCTAGAACAGGACTGGGAGATGCTGTTTAGACAGTGTGGTCAAGGGGCCCTCTCTAAAGTCACATTGGAGCAGAGATGAGATGCTCAAAAGATGCTTCGTGGTGTGCATACCCTAACTGCTTTGTGTAGGACAGAAATTATGAGAGGTTAGAAATTATGAGATGGACTCAGTCTTGAGGAAATAATGATATAATTAAAGAGAAGACATAAAATATAACCATGAAACAGTATATTTAAAGCTACATGTTAAGAGGCACAAAGTGCTGTTCAAACCTAGGGAACAGGCTGGCATGCATTTAAGTCTTATTGGATACAAACAGGTTGTGCTTCAAAGGGTTGGAGGCCATTAAGGCCCAGCCTGGGTGAGGCCTTGCAGCATGTGTGAGAGACATAGGATGCACTCGTGAGTGGTTTCTCTAGTGGACCTTCAACCTGGCAGAATCAGATTCTCCAGGGCTGAGGTCCAGGAATTGAGATCTTGACAAGGTTCTCCAGGGAATGAGGATGTGACTGATCTCAGGATTGGCTTGTTGGCCCCATATCTAAGCTTCTGGGGCCAGCATCTGCGCCTCGGCCACTCTGCTAGCTGGTGCCATCCCCACTTCCTTATTCTAGATGTCCTGCCCCTCCTCTGGACCCAGTTCAGATTCTTCAGGCTTGTTGAAGGGAGCTAGCTCCCAGGTGATCTGGCCAACTCAAAATAATTAAGAGCCCATCCCAGATTAGTTGACCCCTTGTAGGTGGTACCCAGGCACACACATTTCATGCAGCTGAGATAACTAACTCCAGGTCTACTCCATGAAGTGGTGATGTGGGCTGTGGCTCCCCAGTGGGTTCCTCTTGGTCCAAGTTTATAAAACATTTCTCACAGCCTGTGTCTTAGGTGTTCCTGTGCTATTGCAGAGGGAAACCAATAATGGCCACAGCCCCTGTTTTATTCTAAATATCAGGACTGAAAGCTAGCTTCTTCCTCTCCTTGGGGGTTACTGTAATAACCCTGACATTGTCATGAATTGCAATATTGGCATTTAAACAATCAATACACAGGTCAATTCTAGGGATTAAATGGAGCAGAGCTTGCTATGTGCAGTGGACATTAATATGCCACCCCCAAAGCATTGTAAGCCGCATGGGGCTATCCAGGCATTCAGTGGGTGGACAGGGAGGAAGGAAGGTAGGAGGGGAGGCATTGGACCAGAAGGAAAGGCAGACAAAGGCCCAGAGCCGGCCTTCCTGTGTTGTTCTCTTTACCAATACAGTGAGCGGATCAGCCGGCAGTGGCTGACATTTCTGTTTCCTGGGAAGCTGGTGTCCTCCTATGATGGGGGCCATTTGATTCCTTTATTTGTCTCCTTTGTTGATAGGGGCCCAGGGTGGGGGAAGACACAGGCTGTTATTGCTCTTGCTGATCTAGCTCTAGATCTCTTTAATGATTTTTTGGACATCTTCCTCTGGTGACTTACACAGGTGAGCCACTCTAGGCACTCTCCTGGGGACCCGAAGGCCACAGTGGACAGGGGTCAGCTGTAAAGGGTCATGCAATAAACAATTCAGGTTTTGTTGACCATACAGTCTCTGTCACAGGTAATCAACTCTGCCTTTATAATGTGAAAGCAACCATAGGCAATGTCTAAATGAATGAGATTGGCTGTGTTTCAATAACATTTTATTGAAATCTAACATTCATATGATTTTCACATATTGTGAAATATTCTTCAATTGATTTTTTCCAACCATTTTAAAATGTAGAAATCAGTCTTAGCTCACCAGTCACGCCATACAGAAGTTGGTGGTGGACGAGATTAGACCTGTGGGCCGTCGTTCGACAGGGCCTGACTTAGGATATGCTCTGCCTACTGATGCCACGGCGTACTTACCATATTACAGATGAGTCTAGAACTCAATGCTCGCATTTCTTGAGCTGAGACCAACATTGGATCTGACCGTTTTATCTTCATCTCAGCAAGAAAGGTAGAAAACGCAGCTCATTTTATCAGTTTAATAGAAACTAAGTCTTCCCTGTTCCCTCTGATTTTCCCCTTGAAAATCATTATGAAAGATTTCCTGCTCAGAGGCATGACTGACATACCTTTTAAAAATCTTTTACCAGAACAGGTAGTGATATGTGTGCATATATATTTCAATATATTTATTACACGGGTATAACAGATACACGCAGACTCAGATTATAAACATAAATGGCATATGTATAAGGTTGTTGAAATAAAAATAACAGCATAGAGCACATAGCATGCACTGTTTACTGGATCCTTGACACTCACGGGTTTAGTCCACACCACCGCCGGGGGGAGGGTCCTCTCTCCCCTGCTCACGCGCCTCTCCCTGTCGCAGACGCGAAGTGAAGCCGCCATGACCGTCCTGAGCGGCCACGTCGTGGTCTGCATCTTCGGCGACGTCAGCTCGGCCCTGATTGGCCTCCGGAACCTGGTGATGCCACTCCGTGCCAGCAACTTTCACTACCACGAGCTCAAGCACATCGTGTTCGTGGGCTCCATCGAGTACCTCAAGCGGGAATGGGAGACGCTGCATAACTTCCCCAAAGTGTCCATATTGCCCGTAAGTCCAAGGTCACATTATTGACGGGTTTTTTTCTTCCTTTCATTCATAAAAGAAAATCCCAGATGGATGTAACAGTTGTAGCTTTGATCACGCCTCTGCTCCTTTCTCCGGCGATGGGCCTGAGGACTCAGCCCTTCCTCTGTGCTCCGTCTGGGAATCTCCAGGCCCCGGGGACCTTATTAAAGGGAATTTGCAGCCCAGTTCAGTCGCTCATCAGACAGAAGTTTAGCTGGTATCAAATACATTAACCATGTCCGTGTCTAAACACTCTTGCCTACCCAGTGCCATTCGATGTGATGATGCTTAGAGCAGAATTTACTTATGGAACTATTTGCCTCATCTTATCCATGACATTAGGAATGCCTGGGGAAATCTCGATTGTACTACATTCTGTTTTTAACTGAATATATTTAACAGAGCTCTCTATTTATCTGTGCGGTATGAAGGCCAATCCCTTCTGCCGGCTCTGCCTCTTCCCCTCATCATTAAGCAGCACCGCACTGTGTTCCTGGGTCTGTGTGCACACCCACATGTGTGCCTGTGATGTTCTTCACGACGAAACACTGCCACCCAAATCTAAAAGGACAGTTGGGTACTCTACAACCTAGTGTGAGGACATGGGATACGTGATCTGGGAGTCCTGGAACTAACTGCTTCCTGAGTATTGATCAATAACTTAGCCATAAATGTTCAGAAACTTATATTGTACATTTCAACATTTGATATAGTTCTTTATGTCACAGATCCATGGAAATAGCATGTGTCCTCTACTCGAACATAGTTAATGTATTTGATACCAGCTAAACTTCATATCTGATGAGCGACTGAACGGGGCTGCATTTTTCTTGAAAGTTCACATCCCTGGAACTGAGGAACATGAATTTGATGCTACATTTCTAGAGGGCCGGGTTTCCTTTCCAATTATGGGCTTGAATTCCTTATTTCTGTTATCAGCTTCCAGAGCCTTGAAAATGGAAAAAGGTAGTAAAGTAATATAATTCAATAAACAACACATAAGTATCTACCCACAGTATTATGCACTAGTAGCCACCGTGTATCCTTACATGCACTCAGCACAGACGGTGCTCAGTAAATATTTAAAGACATGAGAAAAATATAGACAGATTTCTTTTGGATGCTGGACCAAAAACTCACTGACTTTATAACCACGTGTAACTAAAAAGAGGCACCTGCAGAAAAACAAACAGTCATGCACACTGAAGAGTGTAAATACATGTACACCTGGCTAATTTCAGACACCATCGATTGCATTCTCTTTTTCCATGATTGTCTTCCTCCGTGTGATCTCACACACAGGCCCCTGGGGTACATGGACCGGGGTCTGGAGTACCTTGTAAGGAGCATATTATTTTGCTGGGTTACATGAGCCTTTGTGTATGTGTCATGTTGGGTGTGCAGGACGTTTGTTGTGCACGCGCGTGTGTTTCCTTGTGCCTGTCCTTGTACACATCCACTCCCCTACCTGCACTGATATGAATGAGCTTCTATATTTGCAGGTCCTTTTTAAACACTCCACAATCTAGTGTCCTCAAACACAGCGTATTTGTACAAAATGGGCCTCTCCGTCTTCACATATTTCATTGTTTACACAGCGCCTCCCAGGTAGGGCCAGCCCGAGAAGCTCAGGGTGTTTCTATGTATGTCATTTGTATTTCTTGAGTTTTGAAATCACATGTGTACAACGGTGCAGGGATTGTCTTATGTCACAATTACTGCTGGATTCCCCACAAGGTGAAAATTAAAAGAAAATGTGTAGGCGATTGAGGCTTATGCCCTGGGGCAGTGACTCAGGAAGTTGGTTGAACTTCTCTTGTACCAAGAGATCCCAGGCAGAGAGGGGATCCTCCTCCTGCTCAAAAGGTAATGCTCCAGAGCCTGGAACCAGTAGCTCCCGGGCCTGACGCGCTAGGTGCCTCCCCCTCCTTCATTCCACGTTGTGGCAGCATTTGGGGGCTGAGAAGAGAATTGTTAACTGCCACTGAGTCAGAAAAGAGGGTTGATGCCTCTACCTCCACAGCCAAGTCCAACCTTCTCAAAGCCCTTTTCCAGGAAGGAGAACCAGGGAAAGGCACCCAGAGAACTAAGGCAGTGGGCGAATCCTGTCCCTGTACAGGCAGTGAGGTGAAGGCCACTCGGGTCTCCATGCAGGCAAAGCAGAAGCTGGACCCTGGCTGAAGGACCAAGGGGGCTGGGGCTGGGGCTGGGTGTGAACTCCAGACGGGTGTCCCTGGGTGCCCAGCACGGGATGGCCTGATGAGTCTGCTGTGAGCCCCCTGAGGGCACGGAGCACGTGGGGTTCACGCCCCTCACCTCCAGCACTAACCATCCGGCTCACCCGTGGGTGCCTCCCTGGCCTCTCTGTCATCGCCTCCTTGATCTATCCCCCCCACACACTATTTTGTTGCTTTAGGATTTTTTAAAAAATTGTTTACTGGCTTATTTATTTTTAATTACACCAGTAATATGCAGACACATTCTTAATACAAAATATTCAAACAACAGAGAAGCATGTAAAGTCGAAAACAAACTTTTCCCTTCACCCCCAATGGTATTTCCCTCCTCAGAGATAATTACTGTTATTAGTTTAGCATGAATTTGTCTAGAACTTTCTCTCGGAGTGTACATACATTTATAAATACATTCAGAAATCTGTAGTTTCCTTTCGCTGGTTCCTTTCTACATAAATGAAATCGTACTTTTCAGATTGTGTAGAACTTGTCTATTTCTTTTCCACGTATTCCTCTGTTGGAGACGCTTCCATGGCGATGCCCGCGTGGGGAGCTGTTTCAGTCCCTTTACCTGCTGCGCAGGCCCCGTGGTATATGTGTCCCATGCGTGTTTAACGGTTCCTGTGTTGTTGGACAATTAGGCGATTTCCTTATTTTCTTTCTGCCGAAAATATGCAATCAAATTATACGACCTGAAGCTTCACTCCTTTCCACCTCCCCTTTGCAGGACGCGTTAGCTGCCCCCCTCCTGCACCCGGTCTCCGCGCCACCGCGTCGCACCTGCTCACGGGCCATTCCCCTTGGCCGCACTGGAAATTCTCCTTGGAGCTGCCGTCGCTGGCTTGCGACAGAAGGGACCCGCTATTAAATAAACAAGCATTTGAAAGCTAGCTCTCGTTACGTCCTGAAAGCCAGAGGTTGCCACAGGACAGTTCCTTAAATCAAGACAATTTGCAGCAGGAGGGAGAGGCAGGGCCCCGGCATTATCCCTCCCCCGTTTGCTAGTAACAGCTTGATTGAGTATGGAGAGCAAGCCCGAAATGCTGCCATCAGCACCGGCTACCCTTTAGATTAGCACGCAGCTCCTAGTCCCCAGAATGCAGTTAGGCCAGCTTAATGTCACGGCGTAAAACAGATACTTGTTAAATAATCTCCCAAAGCTCCAGCGCGATCTTTAATTTGTTTTTATTTTGTTCCTCTTGCCCTGTCGTGCCTCGGTCTCACTTTTTGCTTCTGTTTTTTTTTTCTCTCCTCTCTGCCAAAGGGTACGCCATTAAGTCGGGCTGATTTAAGGGCCGTCAACATCAACCTCTGTGACATGTGCGTCATCCTGTCAGCCAATCAGAATAATATTGATGACACTTCGCTGCAGGACAAGGAGTGCATCTTGGCGTCACTCAACATCAAATCTATGCAGTTTGATGACAGCATCGGGGTCTTGCAGGCTAACTCCCAAGGTAAGGACAGCCTGTAATGCCCCTCTCCTGCGCCTGCAGGGGACAGGGGCTGGCAAGAGGGATATCCTTCACTCAGTAATTCACAGAGGCTCCACCAGCCTGCCAGGCAGTGGGACCTGCGGTCACAGTGATGGCGCTCAGAGGGGCGTGCGCGGCCTCTCCTTGCCATCCCAGGACTCGAGCTGGAAGACCCGTGCTCAGAACAGGCTGCCTTCCCAGAAAATGAACCCCCTCAGCCTTCCCAAGCAGTGGCTTTGTGACCAGGGTCACCAGCTAAATGTCAGAGCACTGAAAAGATGCTGTCTGAGCAATTCCCAGTGTTCCTCCCCAGAATATGTCTTTGCCGTTGACCTGTACTAAGCTTTGCTATTGTTACAGCTGCACGGGGGTGTTAAACTTGACGTTATTATATGCCGACCAAGGGATGGTGACCCCTGGAGAGTGGGGACTGTATGGCAGGCACTGAAAGCCATTCAGTGAGAGGTGGTGCTCCTTAGCCCATGCGGTCTCTACAGGAGGCGCATCAGCGCCAAATGACGTGCATTTGCCACCTCCGCTCTGCCCCAGTCTTTCCTGTCATTTTCTCCAGGATCCTGGGCAAATAGCTACAAGCAAAGATGTCATCTTGGAGTCTCAGAAAGGAGCATGGCAAAACTCATAACAAACAACCTCACTAACCAGGGTCTCAGCAGGATAGGATGTGAAGCATTTTCCCCCAAAAAAACACCCCTGTGTAGGCTTGCCTGAACTGTGGAATATTGTCACATGTGGTCTACGAGATGGGTGGCACTGGGTGCCTGATGGGGCCTGACTCCCATCATTCAGGGGCATAGGTGGAGGGAACACAGCCCATGAGAACCGTAGCTGCTGGGACATAAACACCATCTCATGGACGTGATAAAGCTCGGCGCCACGCAGCCTAGACTTGTGCGCTACGTTATCTCTTGTTAACTCCGCATCACCACCACCTCCTTCTGACGTCTGCTTGACGTTGCTGCAAGGCCAGGAGTAGTAGTTCCCAGAATCCTTTTCTTCACATGGTTCTGGGTTGGAGTCTACCAGTGAGAGAGGGGCCCTGGGAGAGACCTGGGAACCGGGAGAGAAAAGGAGGCAGCTGCAGCCAGAGCCTGAGCAGATGTGAGGTTCAAGGCAGATCTCCGGGGAGCCTTCTGAGAACCACAGCTTTGGTGCCAGGGTCCGAGACTGGGGCACGGGCTTCTCTGGGGCCTAGATTCATGGCATCTGGTGGAGCTCAGGAGAGCCTTCCACTTGGTGTTGGAAGTAACATGGTAGATGGTGGCCTATTCCACTGGCTCCTCTAGCCTTTCCAATGCTGGTGTCCATCTCTTCATACTTGGAATAGAGAGGATTCTAACATAACCCTGATGAATCTAGCCCGAAGCCAGTTTGGGCCTCTCCACTCCATCATTCTCTTGCCTCTCCTGCAAATCTAAATCTTGCCACCCACTTACTCAGCTGTGCCCGAGGGGCAGAGCAACATGTCAGGCTCTGAGGGACAGCCCTAACCCACCAGCTGCATACTGGGGAGGCAGGGAGTGGAGGTGACAAAGGCTATGAGGAGACAGTAAGCTGGCCTTCTAGGAGGCGGAAAAGGCAAGCTAGAATTTAGTACCTTCCTTTAAGTACTTGTGCTTCAATGTGGGGCCTCCCACCCAGCATGGGCACCACCAGGGACCTTGATAGAAATGCAGAACCTACTGGGTTGGATGCTAAATTCTAACAGGGTCCCAGGTGACTCGTGTGCACGGCTTTAAGGAACAGTAAATGTTCACTCAAACAGAACTAGGTCCAGTGAACACGCTGACCACCCTGACCAGATGCTCCTCTTCTCCTGTCATGACCAGCACAGGGAATGGGGAGAAGTGGAAGCAGAGGTGCTCCCTGCAGGTGGAGGGGGGACTGAGCAGGAGGGGCAGGAAAGCACTCCCTGTCTCCTGCATGCCTATTTCCTCCCAAATCCAATAATTGAGATTTTCTAGGTCCATGGATCAAAATATTAATGTACAATTTGGTTTTACAGCTGACCCTTAAACAGCAGAGGTTAGGACTGCACGGGTCCACTATACACAATTTTTTTTTCAATAATATTTCCTTTTCTCTACCTTACTTTATTGTAGGAATACAGTACATAATACATATAATATGAATAATATATTTTATTGACAGTTTATGTTATTAGTAGTTAAGTTTTGGGGTTGTCAAAAGTTATGTGTGGCCCTGGCTGGGTGGCTCCGTTGCTTGGGTGTCGTCCCATGCACCAAAAGGTGGCAGGTTCGATTCCTGGTCAGGGTGCGTGCAGGAGGCAGCAATCAGTGCTTCTGTTTTACATGGATTTTTTTTTCTCTACCTCCCTTCCTCTCTCTAAAATCAATTAAAAATGTTTTGTGTGGTTTTTCAACTGCATGGGATGTGAGCACCATAACCCCTGCATTGTTCAAGTTTCAGCTTATATGCATCTGACATAGGTGTTCCTTCCAGCTCTCATAAACCTTATCCCAGCTTCTTAGATCCCCTGTGATGGCCAAACGGGTAAAAATGCTTCCCTTCCCCTTCTCAGATACCCACCCAAAACTCAAAAGCCTTCTTTACTGTTTTGAGCACAGAAATAAGCAAGAAAAATAGGTTTTGATGGGAGATAAGAAAGGAGAAGGGAGTTCATTTTTCCTGCAAAAAAAGAGAGAAAGGAACTCCTTTTGTACAAGGACACGCACACGTGCACATGCACACACAGGGCAGGCAGAGGATGTGTTCCACGGAGATTTGCACAGGGGCCTGGTCAGCAGGAGAATGGAGCCTGTGCCCCCCGGACACCAGCAAGCAGTCTGCTCTCCTCTCGCTGAGAGGCCGTGGGGGCTGAGGCCCACCGAGCCCATATTTCCCTCCTTTACTTGCTGCGTCTGCTCTTCTCTTGTCCTTGGTTTCTCACACGCTCCCTGGTGACACTGACCTTCCCAAAGGCAGTGGTTTGGCAGTGGCATCCACACTGGAAGCCACTTCCTCCCCCGAGGGCAGTGTCTGCAAGTTCACCCTCTCCTCGGGTCCTTCCCAGCCTGTGGGGCCAGGGGGACGAGCTGAGTTTCCCTGACAGTGCCCCTCCTTGAGACCCTTTTGACCAACTGCAGCGCTCACTGGACTCAGATACATTTCTTTCCATTCCCCTGGGCATCTGGCAGCTCCGAGAGGATTGGAATTACAGAGTACAGATGGATTGATTCCATGTTACTCTTTTCCTCCTGGGAAACTGCATTACCACCTCTCCAGAAGGCAGCGGGACAGAAATGTGGACTCGGGACAGATGTGTGCGCTCTTGGACCAGTTTATCCAGGCATCCTTATGGAAAGTTCCTTATGGAAAATGTTTCTATCATGTTAGAATGTAACATGAAAAATGAGTCTTAACATTTGAAGCAAGTCCTCATTGGGGTTTGTGTTCAGACACTTGGCACTGCCTGCTACCTGGTCTCTTAGACAAACAAAGCTTATTTTCCCTTTTGGTGTCACTATCCTGGCCCACACGGTGTCAGAACTGACCAGCCCAGGGATTCTGGACCAGACACTTTCCAAAACGATCTGTGATATGATGGCTGGTTGTCAAAAGCAATTACAGAGAGAGGTGGCGTGCCCCATGCTGGTGGTCTATCCGATGTGACAGTTGGGTCTATGAGATGCAGTTTTAATATACAGCAGGCAGAACTGCAGTGACAATTATCTAAAGCAGGTGAAACCGCTTCTTGCTGGTCAGCAAACATCAGCTCAGAACCACTTTACGGCTCTTTACCAGCAACTAAGTGCCTTTATTTACAGAGCGCCTGTCACTTTCCTTTGGCTGGAGAGCTGGTGTATTATTTAGCACACATTTATCTGGGGAAAACATTTCAATTTAAATCAGCTGGTACAACGGTGGCTCTTGCCAGACTGTCTCCCTGTGGTTCTAAAAGATAGGAACCGAGTCTGATCTTGGGAGGGAGGGTGAGAAGAGGCGGGAGGGTCCATTCTCAAGAGCCGCTGGAGTCAGTACCTGAGAAGAGGGAGCATGTGATTGAATTTCCCTTTATGCTTTCAAAGTAGCATCTTACAGTTTCTTCCTGCTTAACCTTAATCCTTAAGGGAGAGAAAGAAGATTAAATGAGTGTCCACTATGTGTCAGGCACTATAAATGCTTGGGACACAAGAGGACATGGATTCAGCCACTCACTGTCCTTGAGGGGCTCAGGTGAGTGGAGGAGGCCCCCCCATAAACAGGTATTGCACAGTGAGACATGGACCAGGCTAGAAATACAGGAGCACAGAGGGCTTCTCAGTTTATACATTCCAAGGGGTTGAGAAGGCTTCCAAGGGGAGCTGACATTTGTGAGCGAGTTGAATACATGCGGCTAGTGTGATTGAGGCACTAAACTTTCCTTCTATTTAATTTTAATAAATTTAAATTTAAATGGTGGCATGAGGCTAGTGGCTACCCTGTTGGACATTATAGGTCTAAACCACAGGCTTGTTGCTTTGCCCCAGTGTCTGGATTAAATCTGTCTTTTAAAAAGATAACAAACAAAAATATGAGCATGGTTTAGAGGTGGAAAGAGATGGTGGCATGAGCTTTATATGAAGATCGCTGCTGTCAACTACGAGGGGTGGGATCAGGGCGGACAGTATACATTTAGCGATGTCAGTAGTGCCCAAGATAGCAGCTGAGATGAAATTGAAACAGAAAAGAGAGCCATTGAAAACAAGTAGATGGGAAGGAGCTGGGGATGAGCAAGGATGAGATGGTGGGAGTAAGTTTGCTTCAAGGTTGGCTACAGGGTGGATATAAAAGCAATTAAGCAAGCAGAGGACCCAGGAGGAGGAACAGGATTGGAGCAGAAGGTAAAGAATTGGGTCCTGGTCCATTTGAGTTTGAAATATCTGTAGACTGTCCAACAAGAAATAAGAACATGAAAGTATAGGGATAAAGTCAGGTTTGAAGCCATAGACTTAGAAGTCAGT